CAGGACCCTAAACCCAATCAACACTGTAAACTGTAACCCCTACAAACTTTAAAACTTTTATACCCTAAGCCCTCCACCCGCAAACCCTCAAAAACAGGCCACCTACGGACTGCCTCTGGACAGCCCGACCGATTCGTCCGACCACTGCAGCGCCAGGTCCTGCGTGCCGTGGCTTCACCAGGGTTAGCTTTACGAGGCTTTTTTTGAGGCTTTGTTTTGCGAGGCTTCGGGTAGGCAGTCCACACTGTGCAGTGCGGTTTTCGGACGAGTGTCACAGTGTAAAAGTAAGTGTAAAAGTAAGTGTGTGTGTGTGTGTGTGTGTGTGTGTGTGTGGGTGGGTGGGTGGGTGGGTGGGTGGGTGGGTGGGTGGGTGGGTGGGTGGGTGGGTGGGTGTGTGGGTGTGTGGGTGTGTGGGTGTGTGGGTGTGTGGGTGGGTGGGTGGGTGCGTGCGTGCGTGCGTGCGTGTGTGCGTGCGTGTGTGCGTGCGTGTGTGCGTGCGTGCACGTGCACCGGACAATTGTGTGTCTGCGAGCGTTCCACTGTCTGGAGAGTCCTGCGCAAGAGTCCAGAAACATAAGCAGTTCGCAGTGCGTCATCAGCCTTCGAACCCCAGTTGTTCCAGCATGCTTCAACTTGGTTTGCTGTGTCGGCCTGCCTGATTCCCAAGTGATGCTTTCTCAGGTTTCGATGTCCTGATGCCAAAAAAAGAACCACAGGCGTAGAAGGAGGCATCCTTGGTGTCGTATGATTCTATGGACTATTCAAAGTGGCTATTCATTCCTCGGTAGCCTATGAACGTGGGACCGTAAACCTCGAAGAAGATTCGGAGTGACAGTGTCGACAGGTGTGGTTTTTGTTTTTTAGCACGTTCGTTTGTTGTTGGACCTTTCTGCATGTGTGAGACTTTAGACTTTAGACGACGCCAGAGTTGAAATCAGGGACAGCATGCAGGCTTGGCATCTGATGGCATCGAGCAATCCGGAGCAAATTCGTTTTCAGGTCCACTTGCTGCGGCGGGCTACGAAATCGACATATTCGCGGTGACCGATGCGGGCGAGGCAGAGAGCAAGCGACGAATTGAAGACTCTGTGCGTCGACCGCCTTGGCACCCAAACGTATAATAAAGCGCTAGGGAAAGGGGCACAGGAAATGTTTGAAAGGTTTCAGGGCCCGTTCTATTTCCAGGGTGCTTGTCTGCCATGCCTGCCGGGGGAGGTGGGAGGGGGAAGGAAGAAACGAAGCACGAAGGCTGGGCCGAGCGACCACAAGCCTCGCGCATGAATATCTTGAAGTTAGCGTCAGGGAATCAAATTTCCTTCTGGAGCCTCTGAAACGCACAAAACCGTGCAGATGGCAGCCTAGGCTGGGCGACAGTTGTAGTTCTGAAGCTTTGGACAGCTTGTTGCCACCGCGTCTAGTTCGCAGGGCCACAGTCCCTTGAACGAGCACGTATCATGCCATGCACATACTCTTCGCGAGGGGCAAGAAAAGGCTTTCAGCGAAGCAACCTGGACCCCCAAACCCATAACTTAACCCCAATGCACCCGACTGAAGACCTACAGTACGCACCCAGTCTGCCTTTTGGCAGATCACCTTGCTTATTTTTTCAACGAGGGTCCCAGGGTCCCTGTTCAGCTTCCCCTTAACGTCAGAATCATATAGAACAACACCAGGATTTAATCGCAGGAGTGCTCCCGCGCACGGGAGACCCTGGCAGAGCTGCGTCTCCTGTCGCTGCGTTGCGTTGACTTCGAGGAGCTCCTCGTCGGTGGTCCTACTAGGACGCAGAGTAGGCCCTTATACCCCCTTTTTTCGTGTTTAGGATCTTAGGAGCCCTTATACGCAGCATTGAAACCCAAAAGGGCACCCGTTTTGTTCCTAGGTCACTCTTGGGTCGAGCCAAAGCCCTGAAATTACTTTAGGCAGCTCAAGAGTCATAAAGCTTCTGGTTCATTGAAGTCCACCCCGGATCTGTCATCCAAACCCGGGCCTTGCGCGAGGCCTTGTCTTGCAAGAGAAATGAATGCCGCTCTGAACCCTAAACCCTAAACCCCAAACCCCAAACACCAAACCCCAAACACCAAACCCCAAACCCCAAACCCCAAACCCCAAACCCCAAACCCCAAACCCCAAACCCCAAACCCCAAACCCCAAACCCCAAACCCCAAACCCCAAACCCAAGACTGGCCTCGAGTAGCCCGACCCCAAGATCAACCGAAAACATGCACAACACTGAGCCCTAAACCCTCGAAACTTACCACAGAGGCACATATTGATGTAGGGTTTATACGACTGTTATTGGTGAGTGTATATAAGGTTCCTATTGAATAATATAAACCCTACTTCATATCATTCATTCTCTCACCAGTACTTTATCAATAGCATAGGTTTTTGGTTCCAGGGTCCTGGATGCGCGTAGCGGCGCTTCCCGGAGAGCGACCTACCCCCTTCGGCAGAGAGACATCACGGCTCTCCACTGTGCTCTGAGAGCACCCGGAGGGCTTCGGGTTCGGGGTTAGGGTAGTTTAGGGTTAATGGTTTAGGGTTTAGGGTTTAGGGTAGTTTAGGGTTAATGGTTTAGGGTTTAGGGTTAGGAGCTGGCACAGATTCAAATTCTGTTGCCCAAGACTGCTGCGTTTGCAGGCAGAAAGCTTGAATTGCGGCTATGGCTCAGTCTTGGAAACAGCAATACCCATGAAACAGTAGTCACTATGGGCCGACTGAGTCACTCCCAAACCCTAAGCCCACGACTTCAATCCGATGCAAAACGCCCCAGAGGCTTAGTGTTCGAAGCCAAACAAAGGAGTCCCAAGCTGTGTTCCTGACCCCAGGAGTCCGATGAGAAGAGGAGGCATCTTGCCAGCATCCACCAGCCCTAAACCCTAAGCCTTATACTAAGCCCGAAGCCCGAAGCCCAAAGCCCAAAGCCCAAGCCCCAAGCCCTCTGCCTTGTCTTTGCAAGAATGCGGTCAATTTTCTCGGAGAGGTGTCTTCTTCACACGCTCAGGCTTTCGTTGCTTCCTTACACCTCTTTGGGCTGCCACGTGCTTCCAGCATGAACCAGTCAAGGTCCCGTTTGGGCAGTTTTCACAACGGTAGTTCTTGCCGGAGGTCTATCTCGCGCAGTCACAGCCCCGAAAGAGATCCGCAAGAACCCTCAACGAGACCCCGCGATATTGTTGTCGTGACGAGAGCGAAGATAAGAAAGTGCCAAGTAGACAGAGGCAACCACTATAATGTCTAATGACCAAAGCTCCAAACCAGCTGAAAGGACTGCTGAAGATCAGTGGCTCCAATTTGGACCATGGACGGGCAGTGTAGGGCCAGGGTTGTGGGTTGGAGTAGTACGAATGGATTTGAGGCGCAGCCAACACAGCAGACCCAGCCAAGCTCTTCGACGAAGTAGCCCGTGCAAGCTTGCTTGGCCGGTTCAACCCTAAACCCTAAACTCTAAACCCTAAACTGTTTGTGCAGGACCTCTTGGCCGCGCCCGGCATTTCTGGGTCAGATGAAGAAGGTTGGTGGGGGTTCATGAGTCCCTAAGCCCTAAACCCTAAACCCGGCCTCGTGCCGTTGTGGCGCGTTGATGTTGCCAGGGCTTAGGCAGTTCTGGGCCTCCTCTTGCTTCTACAGGGTCTAGGGCGTAGAGTGTGAGGATGGTAGGAGCTGCAACCCTGCAGATGGGTACCCAACTCTCTGTAAGCCTTTGGCCTCTGCAGATGCTGTGGCTTGGGAGGGCTGGGGATGCATAATGGGCTGCTCTTTGCTTTATGTGTGTCGGCACAGCTAGGGTGATGGCCATGCCCCCTGCTTGGACTCGGAAATAGGTCCAGATCTGCGATGAGCTCTTTACGGCGGCTGACAAAGACTACAGGCACAAGCTGTGCTATCCGACTATCCTTTCGAGACATGCCGCTGACCCGAACTACAAAGCCATAAATGGAGCACAAGGCCTTTTGAGATGGGGGGGCGGGGGGGGGGGGGGGGGGGGGGGGGGGTGGGGTAGACAGCTTGGTGATCATGCGATGGGAGTGATGGGATGCGAGAGATCGAAACAGACCCCACCTGATAAATCATCATGTCTGTTTTTGCTACTGGATATCTATCTTATTGTATATCAAAATTCCGAGATTAATACTGTAATAGGATATCGTTGAATTATATCATACTAGTATAAGGGCATGTCCAAGTGTGTCCGTGCAGAGACTTGCATGTAGGACCTCTGAGGGAGTGCGCCACATCGCTAGTCGGGAGCTGTTGACTCTCACTCAACAAGGTGTGCAAACAGGCCAACCATATGATTGAGCATAGTACACTCTTTGGAGCCGGGGGATTCGGAAGAATTGATGGTCCTTTCTCGTAAATCACGGTCTTGGCTACTGACGCGCGAGTGCGTACCCGTGCCGGTTATGGTTTGTGCATTGCCGTCACAATTGTTGCTATTCCTTCTGTCGGCAGTTTGGTCAGCCGGTCGCGGATGGATATCCACTGGCATCGCTTCCCAGCAGATCCAACGCAACTGGAGCGGCCTGGCCGGGCTCACAGCATCCGTTCTTCCGTTCACATCTGAGCGCAGATTGATTGTTAAGTTTGGGTTATGATGCGGAGACACTGAGAATCAGCATGAATCGTTTGTCGACCGGTTGCCATGGAAACCCACCCGCATGCCCAAAAATGGAGGAGCTATTTAGAAGCACCAGGAGAAGTTGCCTGACGGCATGACTGACGTAGTGCCTTTCTGTTGTCAGGATTTCTTTCTGTTCCTGTCCCCAAGCGATTGATCGCCTTTGGCACTCTTGGATGATCCGACTTCGCATGCTGATGGCGGATCTAATTAGTATATATATATATACCCTTCGAGAAGCCCAGTTGAATCTATAGATGGGGTTTAAGAAAATAGGATAGGGGACCCCCAATATAGATCCCCAAATAGAGGATCCCCCTTCTTTTCAGGACCCAATTGGGGGTACCCCCCGTTTCGGAGACCCCCCATATGTGGCATGGCTCCGATTCCCGGAAGGTGTGATTTGGCTCCCCTGGCGGAGCGGCGAAACGAACGCCCAGTACATCGCGGACACATTTGCCATCGGAGCTCCCTCAGCCATGCTGCTCGCATGGAGAGCTCTTTTTCAGGCTTTAAAGCCCTAAAGCCTTTACCCCCAAACCCTGAAACCCAAACCCCAAACTTGGCCCTGACCCCTCATGCCCCCGATTCTCCCACCCCCCTCCCCCCCGACCCCTGTACCCGCCCCCCCTAGATACCTCTTACCCAACCCCCCCCCAACCCAGGGAGTGAGATCTTCTCTGACTGCCTTTCGAGGAAGCCCTACCTCCGCGTGTATGACGAGCTGTTGGACGAAGGACTCGCCCCCCCGGGTTGCGTTAGGGCGTTTAGGGTGACTGAAGGTTGAGGGTTCTCGGGCTTTAGGGATGTTAGGGGTAGGGGTATTAGGGTGTGTTCGGGTTTTCGGGTTTTAGGTTTTAGGATAACCCTAAACCCTCAACCCTAACCCTAAACCCTAAACCCCAAACCCTATACCCTAAACCCTAGCCCCGTTCCTGCCAGGCAACTGGCCTCTACACAGAAGTTTCGAGAACTCCTCGGATGGCCTCGATACGGAGGAGCTGTGGCAGGTGTGGGGGGGTTTAGGGTTTAGGGTTCAGGGTTCAGGGGTGTAGGGTTCAGGGGTGTAGGGTTCAGGGTTTAGGGTTTAGGGTTTGGCGTTTAGGGTTTAGGGTTTAGGGTTTAGGGTTTAGGGTTTAGGGTTTAGGGTTTAGGGATTCGCAAGTTGGGGCTTGACTCCTGAGGCTAGTTAGTGAATCGACTCCGAACGCCTGCGTATTGAACTTCCACGCCTGTGCCCATTCTGTCCAGCAATTCCTTCAACCACCCTGGTTCTTAGTAGGGAATGAGGGAATTAGGGCCCTAGATATACCGAATGATAGACCCTTTAAGGGATGACTGATTCCCTCGTTCCCTACTAAGAACCAGCCAGTCAAGAGAGCTTCACCGCTTCTACGAATGCGAACTCTCCAGCCGCTCAGGTAGCGCTCTTGAAGAAGGGCGTCCTGGCCCGACAACATCTGGACATCTGCTTCAACTTGCTGCTTTGCGCGCATTAGCCTTTCATGGGCATACCTCGCTGTTTAGCATAGGACTACCCATGAAGACGAGAGGTGTAAGCCGTGCGACGACAGGAGCTCGAGGTTTTCTGGGGCAGAAGTTATTGTGAGGACTGTTGGCTCCCAGGAGGGTTGGCTCCCGATGTCAGCCTTGTGCACTCCTTGTTATAATCGCAACCCCCTAAACCCTAAACCCGAAACCCGAAACCCCAATGGGGCCTAAAACGGTGTCGGAGCGTAACGTAAGTGCTTCAGCCTGCGAGCATCCTTCCAGAACAGGCTGGCAAGGCGGTTCACGGATCCCTTGCTGGAGCGGGAGGACATAGTAGGGTTTAGGCGGTTTAGGGTTTAGGATTTACCTTCAGCAAGTGCCCACCCGCCACATGTCACCTTCAGTCTTGGTGGAGGAGCTTAAGGAATTGCCTTTTACTGGGGCTGGCAGTAAGGGACTCT